ATACTTATCCTTAGAAAACTGTGCTTCTTCTGACAAGTTTAGAGGGCTGTGTCTTCCCCGACTGACTTCCCTGAGTGTCTTTCAGGCTTTGTGCACTGAACCTTGGGCTGGAAACTTTAACCCATGGGTCTAAGCTGCTAGCTATGGATAGGCAAAGGACTAGCTACCAAAAGGTCTGACCTAATTCTCCTCTGTTGTGTCTCTCTAGTACTGGCTCATGGATAATTACACACCTCTCTGAGCACATTAAAAACAAACAAATATTCATTCAACTGTTATTATATATGAAGGATGCTATGGGAGGAGGGTACTAAGGAAGACAAGCCACAGTACCTACCCTCCAAGGACTTACAGTCTCTGTGGGAATAAAGCATCAGCAAGTAGAAAGACCTTCAGTGCATAGCTGGGCAGCTGCTCACACACATAGCCCACATCTTCAAAAACCTTTCATCCTGATGCTCTCACATAATTTGTCTTGAGTGCTCATGGGAGATCACTGTGGCTGGCTTACCAGCCTTCATGCCACCTTCCTTCTAGTGCAGAAGTAGGAAGCTGAAAATATTACTTCTTAGACAACTTGGAAATTATAGTAGCAAGGTAAAGCAGACAAATAAAGTTGGAAAGACATGGGTGTTTGGAAGAAGTCACAGCAGTCAGAGAAGGGGCCTAGGGTCCAGGCTCTAGCTCTTGGTGAAAGAGGGCACCACGGTAGCCACTGCTATAGCTGCTTCCTAACAGCCATCTCTTAGCCATGACTGAGCTTCTTACAAATGATTAACACTATGCTATTTTGGAAATGAGTTGGATAGCAGGCTAAAATTTGGACCACATTTGGACAAGGTCCCCTTTCACCAAATGATTTAAAAAGCACTCAATATCTCTTTGCTCTTCAAGAAGTAAAGCCAACACCAATGGTTCATCTTGCAGATTTCCTCTGAAGTTGAATAAAATTTCTAGAAAACACACACGCTTCCTCGTAGAGCAGGAGGGAAATCCTAGACCACTTCAGAGTGGCTCCATCTACCCAGACCACTTTGGAACAAGGGACAAATTCCTGAATGCACTGAGGACATCACCATTGAATAGCACCTATTTTCTTTGTTTCATGTGGTTTCTATTTATTTACAGACTGCTATGGTTATTCATGATACTTTACAAACCATAAAAGCCAGGTCTCCACCCTATAGACTTTACAGTGTAATTTAAACAGACATGCTGCATGGGCTGACAGGTCAGGCATGCCAGGAGATGGTGTTGGTGTTGTATAACATGGGTGTGGAGGGTTTCTTCTTGAGTTATAAATACTTTCCAGTTACAAGGGCCTTTCATCTGGGATCCCCAAGCACTTTAGAATCACAATAACCTCAATTGCTTTCTAAATGCACTTTCCATAAACTGTTACAGGGACTGAGTAAATGCTTTTAAATGTCTATTAATTGATCTGTGGATCTGTTCATTGTCCATATTAAACAGCAGGATGTAAACATGATGGCTTGGGACAGGCTTTGTTTGGGCTGTGGTCTGGTTGCTCATAGGTTACAACCCCAGAGAGATCTGGTAGTCTTGCCCCTGCGTCAGAAGGGCCGCATGGACTCCTAGGTGTACTCACAGACAAGACATTCCCTCAGCCTCACCTCATAAAGACCACTTTCCAGGTCCTTGATTCACCTTTAATGGACAATTAGTGTTTCAAAGGCAGCTGAACTCAGAAGAAGAATTTCTTGAAGAAAGCATTTCCATCAGAGAACCTTGGGTAGTTGTCCATCTGCTAACAGTAGTAGCAGATTCCAGTGGTAGCATTCAACTCCCTCCCAATTGCTCCATCCTGATGCTACTTCATTCTTTCTCTGAAGGGTAGCATTTCCCAAAAAGTAAGATTTCTATTTCACTGCAGCTGCTATGGTGCTTTCTCTCCCATGTCTCCCCAAGTGACCATCTAGAAAGTGATTATTCCTGAACTTTTGGAAGAGTTCATTCAAATCCAAGGGAGGAAGAGCTTTGAGATAAGCTGTGCTCTTGGGAAAGTGGATCTTGTATTTAGTACAGGGGCTACAGGGTCTCACTACACAGATTTGACTTGTAATGATTCTCCTGTCTTCAGTCTCCCAAGTGCTGGTATTACAGGCATGTGCCACCATGCCCAGTCAATTGCCACCTCAGTGCACTCCACGGATTAGCATGTGGATCTTGTGTCCCCTCAAAAGTGCATTGTTGAAGGCTGGGTCCCAGCATACTTATTATGCTCAGGGCATGGGTCCCTTGGAAGTGATTGGATCCTGAGGGCTGTCACCTCAGGAAGGGGTCAATCTCTTTATGGATTCATAACTCAGTGGGCTTAAGGGGAAGATCTTTGCTCTAACAGTGTGCTTTCTCTCTGTTCTTCTTGGCCACTGCCAGGTAAACAGTTTTCCTCTGCCATGTGCTAACTGATGGGGCTGAGTGGCCAGGAACCGAAACCGCTGGAACTGTGAGCCACAGTAAATCTTTCCTCTTTTTAAACTGTATTTCTTAGGGAGCCTCAGCAACAGAAAACTGACACATTCCTCCATTTGCTCATCTTTTATAAGCTCCTCAGGGTTAATTTTCTAAAAATCCGGATGGAATCACTTCACCTCCCTGCTTTGAAAAATAAAACCCAGGTGACATGTGGCCCCTTAGGCCTCTGCAGCCGATCTTCCTTTCTAGTCTCATCAGTCCACATGACCTATAGCCTTGGCCTCACCAGAGAGGGCACTCTTTGCCCAGAGACTCAAATTCCTCTTCATGCATGATATTCCCTTCACCCATATTCTCATCTTTCCAGCAAGCTAGCATCCTTTCCTGCCCACCTCTAACTTCCTTCATCTCGAACTTCCAAGGTGCCCAGCACCATAGATGTCTCCTCTACATCTGTACACATTCATCTCTTTGCCTTGGGCACCTACATCTCTCCACCTCCAGTCATAGTTGCCTCTTCAACTTTCAGGGACTATGTCCCCTTGAGTACAGAGATGTCTCATGGAGTAATCACAGAATATGTTTGTTTTCAGGACTAGCAGTTAAACCCTGGGCTTAACATTGAGCTATGTCTCCAGCATTTTAATTTTTTTTGTTTTGAGACAGAGTCTTGCTAAACCACCAAGTTGCCGAAGCTAGGCTCAGACTTGTGATCCTCCTGCTCCTTCCAGAGTGTTGGTATTACAGGCATGTGCCACAATTTCCAGCTTCAGAACATTTCTGTGAAGGTCTCTTTTTGTACTAAGAAGGGCTGATGAAGGGAAAGGGAGAGAACAACCTGATGAACCATTTCTAATTCTGTTTGCAGGACTCTATGCCACCTTCATGAGGAGGCAACTGTATACTTTTAAACATTTTTTGTAATAAAATATGCATCCCATAAATTTACCACATTAAACATTTTTAAGTTTATAGTTCATTGGTATTAAATACATTCACCTTGTGTTGTGAATTTATCTCCAGAACATTTTGACCTTCCAACTTGAACTCTGTACCCATTAAACAGTGTACCTTTTCTTTCCTCCACACCCCAGCCACAACATTTCCACCTTGTTTTTCCATTCTATCTTCTGTCTCTGTGAATGTGACCACTCTTGGTCCCTCTCACAAGTGAAGTCACATAACAGGTGTCCATTTGTGATCGGCTTGTTTCACATAGCACAGTGCCTTTAAGTGTCACCCACGTGGTAGCTTGTATCTCAATTTTTCTTCTTTTTAAGTCTGAATGATGTTGTATTGTAGGTATATGCCACATTTTATTTGACCAAGTGGACACTTGGTTTGGTTTGACTTTTATGAATAATGTTACTCTGAATATAGAGTGTACATGTATCTGAGATTGTGCTTTCACTGTTTTGGCATACCCTCAGAAGTAGAAGTATTAGATCATATAAATTAATAAGGGGAGAGTGGACACTTTCCATTTTCTACAGAGGTGCCCCATTTAATACTCTCAACAGCAGTGTACAGGGGTTCTAATTTTTCCATTTCCTCACCAACACTTGTTAGTTTTAGCTTTAGGTTTTTTTTTTTATAATAGTCTAGAGGTGTGTCATATCTTTATGGTTTTAGCCTCTGTCTTCTCTGTCCTGATGCCTCACAGTGCACCAAACTTGCCTCACAGCATATCCTCTTACTACTATTCTAGTATGTGCCGCTGCCTAGGGGGAGGCTGCCCCAGGGATACAGGAAAGTTGAGCGGACTTGCAGCCTGTTGTGTTTCTGCATTCAGTCCAGCAGGGGGCACTCCCACAAGCTCACAGACAACAGGGCAGCCTGTTCACACCAAGGCAGTAACTACATCAAGGGTCTTTTTGTTCCCTGCCCCTCTTCTCTCAGGCTCCTCACAGTATTAGCACCAACGGGAATCCAACAAGCTCAGGCCAGGGCAGTGTTTCTCAAAGGCAGTTCCACTGGCATTCTGGTGGGATAATGCAGTAGACAGGACAGTCTCCCACCCTGCACAGCATTTTGTATCCCAGAGGCCAACAGCGCTGTGACAACCAAAATGCCCCACCCACAATTCCAAAGTACTTCCTGCTAGTGATGGAGCTACACAGTTGAGAACCACGCAGGCAACGGAACCTGGGAGCCCCCAGGGTCTCCCGTGCACTCTGCAAGGCAGTCACTGTCAGAGTGAGGCCCTGTGTGCCATTCAAAGGATACGGGTTCACAGCTCAGGAAAATGTCACAAGTGGCTGAAGGTGACCTAGATGACTTCCACAGTTGGTGAATGGTTAGTTGACACCCCTGCAACCAGGACTTCAGATCTCAGCCTGCAGTGTCCAACAGACAAACACCTACACATCTCAGCCCTGAATGACCCTGTTGCCTGGGAAGTCTGCACTATGCTTTCTGGGGCTAGGGACTTCATTTCCCTGTGCTGCCATAGCAACCAGGAAACAACCTGGACTCCCAGTGAGGAGGACAGTGCAGGCCCAGAGCTGTAGCAGCACAGGGGGTGGCGCAGTAACAGAGCAACCAGGACTGAGGGACAACAAGGGCTCTGGCAGAAGCTGAGGAAGGCTGCCCTGAGCATAGACAGGCAGGGGCTCGAGCAGACTGGCCATGCAGTTTGTTTTCCTCTCTACAAAGATGCATACTGTCCAAACTGTGTGGCTGGTTGTTACTAAGCAGCTGCTGTAAGAGGGGAAAATGTATTTAATAAAAGGCTCAGTGTTTGTGGGCTTCTTGGGTTTCTGTGGAGCTTTGGAAATCCCGAGGTGTGGCCAGTTTTCAGCCTTCAAAACTAAGATGAACTGCCCTTGAGAAGGGGTGGTCAGAGAGGAAACTATGTTCAACCTCTCTCTCCTGAGCCGGGGCCACGGGAAGCTGGTCCAGAGCAAACAGAAGTTGGAGGTCTATTTTGAACCAGAGGTGAGTCTTACAACTCAAAAAATGCATGGTTTCAGGGTGGGGAGGAATGGTCTATCTTTCCACTTGGAGGTGAACCAGGTGTGTGTGGCAGGCCATTTTGTGAGACGGTGGGGGTCCTCTCTCCTCTTTCAAGGTAAGAATGTAGTTCTCCTGACACCCCAGGACTGCCACTGTGTCCCCCTTCCTTCTCTTGTACCCACACTTTCAGCCCCCTTTGCTTTAGACTGAAAGAGAATCCAGATGGTCTGGAATTTGGATGATTTGTTTCACAACCAGAATTCCCACCTGGGTCCTAGGCAAGCCAACGGTTGTTTGGCTTTTAGAAGTCCTGCTCTGTGGTGAAATGCTGTGTGTGTTCTTGCCATTTCAATGGCTTCCTTGAACTTTCTGGAATTCAACCCAGGGGATTCATATTTAATATAGGCCAAAAAAAATTTCACTTTGGATTTTAAAGAGGTGGCAAAATTCCCTTATTGTACTGGAATTTTACTTCTTGAATTCTGCCAGGAGTACGAAATCCATCGAGGATTCTTTCATATTTTTGGGTCATACAGAGATTTCCATTGTTCTGATATTTGACCTCTACTGTGTTAAAAGACATATAAAATTTCAAAGGGCCTCTATGGCCAATGGTACTTACTTACAAGATATCTAACTACTTTATAGGCTCCTAAATAGCCAAATAAGGTCATGTTACACAGCATCTGGAATGTATAGAATTCTTCCTGTGTACAGCTGAAGTGCTAGTGGGTTGGAAGGGTTTTCTCCTATTTAACTGCCAGCTAGTCCAGATCCGATTTCAAAGTTATCTGCTGCCCTTGACAATTCTGACTACTTACTTGTATCCCTGGACACTTTCACTGGCCTGTAACCTACACTCTACCCCACATAAGCCTCCAGACTGGAATGGCTCTCCTGAAAATTATATGGAATAAAAGAGAACTATGCCCTGGTTTCTACTAATTTTGAGATTTAGAGAGAAAAGCCAGTTGCTAAGAAAAATAATTGCATTTCATAATTTCACACAAACAATTCAAAGCAAATCAGTAATTAAAAAAGTTTCCAAACACTGCCTGAGAAGTATTTGCCATAGAAAGATCTTCTACAATGGCTCTGTCAATGTAGTTTTCTTTTGTTGCAGGATTATTTGAACTGGAAGTCCCCAGAAGACTATGTCCTAGTCAGCAGACCTCAGGAAGAAGACAGTGCTGACCAGCACTCCTGGAACCTTTTTCTTCCCAAGACATTCAGCACTAGAAAGGGAGCTCTGATCCTTTACTCAGAAGGCCTGGCCATCCCAGCATGGACTCCCAGGGAGAAGAGAAAAGACCCCTCCCGCCCCAAGGCGCCCAAGGAAAGGCTGGATCTTGAGCTACACACACTTCAAGATCTCAAAGAAGCCATCCTGGCCTATGGAAGAAAGCAGGTAGGCAGAGCGGTGTCTCAGTTTGAGGAAAGGTCCCAGCCTGTGTGTCCATACAACCATTTGAAGCTTTGGGTATAACTTCCTGGACCCAAAGGAAGTTATGAATCCTTCAGACCTCCAACTGTCCATCTCTACCATGGGATTGTGCTCAGCCCTGTCTGCCACGTATGATTGCCATGAGGCTTATGTGAGCTAATACATGTGAAAGGGCCCTGAAAGCATAAAAGGTCTGCTATCATCATTCTGAATTTTCCTTACACATATAGTCACACAGTCTTTTTCAACACCCAGACAGACATTTCATCAGAAACCTTGAAATCCTGTCTCAATGCCACAAGTATCATCGTCCCACCTCTAATGCTTTTCTGGCTTTGTGGAATGGAGAAGAACATTTTAAATATTTGCCTTAAGCCCTGCAGTGCTTTCAGGACAAGTTACTGACTTTTTCCACTCTGGATTTTTTTTTTTTTTTCTCAATACCAGAGATCAAACTCAGGACCTTGCACTTGCCAGACAGGTGATTATGCCACTGAGCTATATCCCCAGCCCTCTACTCTGTATTTAATATTAAGAGAAAACCATTGTGCATTTTTTGATTCATACTTTTTTTTGGGGGGGAGGGGTGCAAAACTGGGGATTGAACTCAGGCTCTTGTGCTTGCCAGGGAAGCGCTTATTCCACTGAGCCATCTCCCTGACCCCTCCCCCCTCTTTGGTCTTTTTGAGACAATGTCTCACTCTGCAGTTCAGGCTGGCCTTGAGAGCAGGCTTTGTAGAGCAAGCTGGTCTCAAACTTGGAACAAACTTGCAACAATCCTCCTGCCTCAGGTTCCCGGGTGCTGAGATTATGGGTGTACACCATCATGCCCAGCTTCCAATTCTTGTAAAATGAACCAATGGTGCCTGTTACATATAACTGCATTCATTAGACCTTTGACTGAGGCCATAAGACAGCCTGGGAAGATGTGTCACTTTGTCAAGTTCTAGATTAGAGATGGAAGATTGCTCCCTAGTTTAAAAGTCTCTGATAATTAATAAAATCACTAGCCTCCGACTCTCAGCCCTTCACACACAGGCTTTCTCTCCCATGCCTAGCCATATCTCTCACTTGTTCTCACCACCATTTCAACCACAGGTCCCTAAGACACACCTGCCATGTGATTGGTCCTCCACCCCACACCTTCTGATGACTCTACACTCTTACCTACATTTCTACAGCTGGATGACTCTTACCCATCCTTCACTAAGGTCTCCTCACTAAGGTCTTCTCCCAGTTCCCTGGCAGAGCTATCCCACACCTCCCTCCTTTGCAAATATTCCCATACCATCATGCCTTGAGACTCACCTCCAGCTATCTGACATCTCTTATGGGATAATGTCTCCTCCAGAGCATAGACTGTATCTAAATAATTTCCAGAAATGTTGTGAAATGAATGTGTTCTTAGATTGTCTCCCATTATTATTATTGGCCTCTTTATCACCTATCCCCACCCTAGAAGAGCTTCCAAAAAGAAAGACTCCATTTCTCCCTTTCCTTTCTTTCAAAATGGAGGGGCTTGATGACCTTGATCAGATAAATGCCTGATTGTACATGTCTTGAAACAATAAATTCTTGGATGAAAGAGGAAACCAACCGTTGTCAAATGTTTACTGTAATGGTTGTATCTATCATTTAATCCTCACAGTGACCTCATGACTATCATCTTTTTGACTCCTTTATAGATGAGGAAACTGAAGGTCAAAGGGGTTACCTGACGTGCCCTAGGCCAAAAAGTCAACCAATGTCAGAGCCAGGATTCAAACCTGAGGCTTCCAGCCTCTTTGGGGCTAGCATGGCTTGCACTGTGTCCTACTATCTCTGGGCCTGAAAGAGTTCCAGAAAGCACTGTGCCTGGCCTTGGCCCACTCACTTTGAGATCCCCACTATACCCTTCTGCTCTACACAGTGTCACAAGGGATTGACAACAGCTATATACAATTACCCAGACCTCTGTCAATAGGCTCGTGACTGAACTTGCCAGTGTTATTGACCTCAACATTGTCTCAATATCTGTTTGACTTCTGAGCTCACCAATCATTTGTGTAACCAATCCCCTAAGATAAATTCCTTTTGAGTTTGAATATTTCGAGTTGTTCCTGTTTTTCTGATTGAACACTGATTGTTACATAGAGTAACTTACTGTTACTCGGAGTAAGAACAGTTGCTAAGCTTCTAGGTGCATATTCACATGGCTTCATGCTTTGGGCAAAAGGAATCTTACTAATTATAAAGTAGGTAAATCCATTTGAAGACAACTTCATTTTAGGTTAGATATGGGTTCAATGGGGAAAAAACCACGTTCCTGTCTCCTGGTATTCATTATTAAACTTACAGTTCACATCTGTGAAATACAGAATACTCTAGTCTAACTCCAAATGGGTAGAAGGGAAATGGTATGGAGAAATCCAAAAAGGTTCAGAATAGTAATAAGATGGGAATTTTAGACTAGAAAACAATAGATTAAAAGTGGTAAGGAAGCAACTGCAAAGGACTTGGGATGAAAGAAATAAATACTTCAGCAGAGTAGAGCTTTGGAGAGCAGAGAGTACCATCTGACTAGGAAGACTTCAGATCTCAAGAAACTTTCAAAATCGTGACAGCCAGGGCATTCAGGTTATGGGGAAATAGCCATCTATGCCCTAGGAGCACAAAGTCATGTGACATTTCTGGAAGGTATTTTGGAAGAAAACCTGAAAAGGGTTGATACCTTTTGATTCAGCATTCTATTTTTAGAACTTGTCCTAGGAAATAGGCAGAGATATGCCCAAATACTGCATAAAATGTTAACTACGGTATTATTTATTGCTATGAAAAGCAGAGAAAACAATGCATGTTCTACAATGGTGTATTGATTAAACAAATCAGTACAATCATGTAATAAATTTGGGTTAAGTAAGAAGTAATAAAAAAGAAATAATGTATTTGTCATAAATAAAATGAACAATATTCACAATATCTTTTTTCTTAGAATTCATGTAATTTAATTGAAATAATTTATTTTCCACCTTTTCCAATTTAAATATAATATGTAAAGAAAGCCTGAATTGTATAATGATATTTATAGAATAATAATTACTATAAAATTACGATTACCAATGCTATTCACTTAGATCTCTGAGTTGTTGAAATTTTCTCCCATACTTAGCTCAGCTGTTTCTTCTTTAAAGAGGAAAAAAAAGTTTCAAAACAAGTAAATAGGAGAGTTACAATAATTAATACATTGAATATTGTTGTCTTTGTAGTAGTTACTCAGAGTACAAGATAGAAAGAAAGGGAAATAGAAAAAAACATTTATGCACAGGATAGTTAAGATAGTTATACAGCTAGTTTCTCTTAGTTCATTGAAAAGAAAGGTTTCTGCTAATATTGTTTTCTAAAAGCAGGTTACAATGTCAGGTACAGTGACACACACCTGTGATCCTAGCACTTGGAAAGCTTAGGAAGATTGCTGTGAGTTCAAAGCCAGTCTGGGCTATATAAATGAGTTCAAATCAGCATGAACTACACAGTGAGATCCTATCTCAAAAAAGAAACCACACACAAAAATAAATAAATAAATAAATAAATAAATGACAGGTTACAAAAAAGTACTTATATACGTAAGTGATAAAGAAAAATACGAATGTTCATTAACATTTTCTGAGTATTTACTGTGTTCCTGACACTAAGTATTTTCCAAGTATAACTCACTTATGCTTTCAGACAATCATGGTGTAGATGTGAACCTATTACATTATTTTAAAGATGAGAAAACTAAAGCACAGAGAGTTTGATTAATTTTCTCAAGATTATATAGCCAAGCAAATCAGTGCACCAGAATTGCAGACCAGGCAGTGTAAAATGCATTGCTTTGCTGATATAATTTTTAAAAAATTTTAAATTAATTGTAAATTTTTTTTTTAAATTTTGTTTATTTATTTGTGTGTGTGTGTGTATGTGTGTGTGGCCAGCTCAGCCCACCAGGGGGCGGGGCTGGCTGGCATGTGGTGCTGGGGGATTGAACCGCGGTCCCTGTGCTTTGCTAAACTTGTTCTAAGTAGGTGCTTTAGACCACTGAGCCATCTCACCAGCCCCAATTGTAAATTTTTAGAAAGATATACACCAAATTTTTACTTGGGGCCAAACCATCAATGATGGAACTATAAATCTTAGATTTATTTATGCATTTCTTTCAAACAGACATTGTTTCCTAAAGCTCTGGAATTATTATTTTTTAAAATTTATTTTAAGCCTTTATTTTTTTTTTAATTTTTTGTATTTTAGGGGAGGGTCTACAGGGTGTTCAGAGTCTCACTACTAGATCAGACTCATAGTAGTCCACCTGTTTACAACTCCCAAGAGCTGGGATTACAGGCGCGCGCCACCACGCCCAGTCTCAAGCCCTGGAATTTTTAAGATGAAATAAGCCTATGGCTTTGAATAAGATAGTCAATCAGTCAGCCTCAGAGGTCCTGGTGAGAGGGTGAGGAGGGCAAGCTAGCCAGTGGTGCTGCAGTCTAAGGGTGTTGCAGGGCAGAAGGGGTACATAGCACTCACCTGGCATTTCTTAAATTTGTGGGAGTTGTAAAATGAGCCCCCCAATAACCACACTTTTCCTTAGGGTTATTATTATTATTATTATTATTATTATTATTTTATGTACTTAGCAGAGGGTCTACAAGGTCTCACTACACAGATCAGACTCCTAGTGATCCTCCTGTTTTCAGCCTCCTAAGTGCTGGGATTACAGATGTGCACCACCACACCCAGTCTCAGTCTCAGTCTCAGAGCACCCCAGGGGCTGGGCCAGCACAGCATGCCAGGGATCCAACCTTGGTTCCTGCATTTTGCCTAAGCAGGCGCTTTAGTCCTCTCAGCTATCTGGCCAGGCCTAAAATTCAATTTTATTCCTTCAAGAGATAAACAGTATTTACATCGCCATTGAAGAATTCAAACTAGGTTGCCCTGCTACCGCCATTTTCCTTATAACCTAGTTACATTTAAAAATATTGTCAGCTTTATTTCACAGCTTTATTTCACAGGTCCACCCTCCTTATGCTGCCCACTTTCTCCCCCTCATCCTAATACTCAAGACACTTAACTCTTTGCTTGCTGTTTTCTGCCAATATCTAACCCCTGAAGGCATGTCATCAAATTAAAAAAAAAAAAAAAAAAAGTGAATACATACTTGAACCAAGCCTATTTTTCCATCTTAAACATAACACAGACTCTTGTTACAAAATTAAAAAAGTATAGAAAAAGAACACCCTCCGTAACCATTTGAGCCAAAGATCAGGAGGATGAAGTTTCCCTTTGCCAATTCTACCGAAGTGTCCCTAAGAAGTGAGGAGCATGATACCGCTGTCCACAGAGCGTTGGAGGCAGCAAGGCAGTGAAAGGATGAGTGACTTGGACTGTACTGCTTTTTCCTGGTGCTCTGTCTTGGAACAGTTGTCTTCAGAGGCATTAGTAAACCTAGAAGTAGGAAAGATCAGAGAGAAATGTGGTCAACCCTGCCTATGAGCTCAAAGGTAGTATCAGTAACAGATGAGCCTTACTGAGTACTTGCCCTGTGCCGTGTTCTACCTTGTATAATAATTTCACTAGTCTGCACGAGCCAATGAGCTGGGTCCTAGTATTACCTCCGTGTTATAGGAGGAGACCTGGGGCTTGACATTAAATGAGTTGCACACTTAATCCACGGAGCTCAGACAACTGATTCCAAAACCCTGTTCCTGGTACCTAGAGGGTCTGAATTTGATGACTCTACATGCCACAGAGAGAGAAAGCATCTCTTCAGCTTTAACAGTACTTGAAATGAATAGATCTGGGGCTAGGGGTATAGTTCAGTGGTATTGTGATTGACCAGTATGCCCAAGGCCCCGCATCTGATTCCCCACAGCACAAAAGTGTTGGGGATGGCCAGAGTCTTTAACACATTCCTCTAACTGACCCTTTACAATTCTAAGAAAGCAAGTCAGATTTTCACTGAAGTCAATCTGGTTGTAGACAATATTTTCATAGCGCATTATATATATGATGCAGGAAACTTGTTTTTCTAGACTTGGTCTACATCCAACAGTTCCCTTGTATAAATAACAGATAAACAATATATATGCTCACGGATAACATTTATCTAGCACTTGTACCACTAATCACGTTACTTCATTAATCCACTTAAATCTTCACAGCAACTTTAGGAGCTAAGTGCTTTTTTATTGTGGTAAAATATACATAGCATCAAATTTATCATTTTCACCATTTTAAGTGCCCAGCTCAGGGACATATGGTACATCCACATTTTTGTATAATTATCACCACCATCCATTTCCAGAATTTTTTTGTCTTACAAAACTCAAATTCTGTATGCATTAAACACTGCTGCTCTGCTTCCTCTGCCCCTGCCCCTGATGTGTACCTCTCTGCTTTCCATCTCTGAATGTGACTCCCCTAAATACCTCATCTGAGTGGAACATGGCATTCGCCCTTCTGTGCTTTGCTTTCTCATTCAGCACAGTGCCTTCAAAGTTGAGCCGTACTATGCCATTGTTTACCCATTCACCTGTTGATAAATACATGGCCTGCTTTCACACTGTGTCTTTATGAATACTGCCCTGTAAACATGAGGCTGTTCATGTTTCTTCTTCTTTTTCCCCCCCTCAGAGAGTCTTACTATGCAGCCCAAACTGACTTTAAACTTACTATGTGGCCTGAGTTGGTCTTAAACTCCCAGCAATCCTCCTGCCTCAGACTTCCAAGTGCTGGACTAACAGGTGTGCATCACTACACCCAGCATCTGTCATGTTTCCGCCTTCATTCTTTTATGGATCTACCCAGAAATGAGTTGGGAGATATATGGTCATTCTATTTTTAATGTTTTCAGTAATAACCACAGTTTTCCACAACTGTTATGACTTCCAATTTCTTCATATTCTTACCAAAAGAGGCTGTGTTTTTGTTTTTATTTTGTTTGCTTTGCATTACTTGGAATCAAATATAGGCCCTTCACAGCAGCCTACATGCCCAGTCCTTTTTTATTTTTAGATAAGATTTAGCTGGGTTCAAACTTGCAAACCTCCTGCCTCATCTCCTCTGAATGCTGGGATTATAGGCATGTGCCATCACAGTCAACTAAAAACTGGTACTAAATAATATTGCAGGTTTGATTTGCATTTTCTTAGTGATAAGTGACACTAAGCATCTTTTCATGTACTTACTGGGTATTTGGGTATCTTTTGGGGAAAATATATTTGCAAACCCTTTGCTAATTTTTAAATTGGCTTTTGTTGTTCAGTTGTAGTTCTTAAATATTCTGGATGTCAATCCCTTACCTGATAACAATTTGCAAGTACTTTTTCCCAAAGTACAGGTCACCTGTGCATTTGATTAGTGGTGTCTTTTGGTATACGATTTATTTGGTGAAACCAACTAATGATTTCTCTTTTCTGTTCTGTTGGTGTCATATCCAAGAAATTGTTGTTTAGGTCTTTGCTCCATTCTAAGTTAATTTTGATATTTGATATCAAGAGCCCAACTTGGTTATCTTCCATGTAAGGTGGTATTATCACTCCCATAGGCAGAAAGAAACTAGCTGCAGACCGCTCACAGGCATTGAGATAGGATTCACACCCAAGCAGACCATGCTAATAGGACCTGGGCTTAATTTTTATTGTGTGCAATCTTAGTTGCTGGACCTTTATTATCTGTGGCATGTGGCTAGTCAGAGCTCTGATGCTAGAGGGTTTAGTCAGGACTTAAAATCTGTCACAACACTATAGTAATTAGAAGATATGGGACACTTATAATTCTCTTCTTTATCCCCAGTACCTAGAAACACATGGTAACCAGAGATATGTGGCAAAGACAGAGTCATATGCATAGTCCCAGAAATTACCCTGCAGAGAAGGACTGGCTGAGGGGTGCTGCCACGGGCTGAGTCCACAGAAGCTCCGCTCACAGCACTCTCACCTCCAGTCCACAGTTCCACCACAGAGGCAGCTCCAGCCACACCTGCACATGGCACAGGCTGACCTTCTTTCCCCAGGCCTGGCCTTACCAGTGCCCATGGCACCAGGAGACACCAACACTGCCACCCTGAGAGCAGCACCTAGGAGCAGCTCCTGGAGCACTGCAGTCAGCAGCATCATGTGAGCATTACCAGGCCTTTCCTATCACCTGAGCTAACAATTAGCAAGTTGGATTTAGCTCATTGGCACCCAAGGTGGTGCCTGCCAAGTAGTCATGGGGTGAGCACATATGTGCCAGCGTGTGGCAGAGGGAGGCCGTGACCACTGCCCTACAGGAGAGTGCAGTCTAGTGAAGGCAGCAGATTCATGTCCCATGGGCCCAGATACCAGGGAAAAGGCTGGACTATGATTTATCAGACATATAAGAAGATCGGGTTGATTATTACTGTTAAGAAATTAATCTTCTTGAAAAAGAAAGTGTTTATGATGGAATCAGAGGAAGTTTCAGATTGAAGTGGTCATGTGTCTTCCCTCTCAGTCTGAGGAAACCCATGTTAACTGCCAATATAAGGAGAAATCCTGTTAAACTTTCCATAGATTGCTTATACAGATTTGTCAGTAGTTACCCAGCCAGTGGCCCATTTGCAAATGGGAAAATACTGTTTTCTCTATGCCCTGTAATTCACGTTCCCCAGAAATAATAGGAAAGGCCAGTTTGTTTGAGACAGTACCCAATGGCCATGGAAGATAAAAGGATTAAATCTCACATTTAAGAGATATCTGGTCCCGCGTGGTTTCTGGCGGCAGCAGGGGACCCCTGCTCCGCGGCGGGCCTGCGGGGTCATGACTCCCAAGCGCCAGCCTTCGCTCACCCCTCTGACCGGGAAGGCCCGACTCTCTTCGGGCCCCAAACCCGTGGCAGCGGCGGCCTCGCCGGGCCTGCCCCAGGGAGAAAAAGAACAACAAGAAGCAATTGAACACATCAATGAAGTACAAAATGAAATAGACAGACTTAATGAACAAGCCAGTGAAGAAATATTGAAAGTAGAACAGAAATATAACAAACTCCGCCAACCATTTTTCCAGAAGAGGTCAGAATTGATCGCCAAAATCCCAAATTTTTGGGTAACAACGTTTGTTAATCATCCACAAGTGTCCGCGCTGCTTGGGGAAGAAGATGAGGAAGCTTTGCATTATTTGACCAGAGTTGAAGTGACAGAATTTGAAGATATCAAATCAGGTTACAGAATAAATTTTTATTTTGATGAAAATCCTTACTTTGAAAATAAAGTTCTCTCCAAAGAATTTCATCTGAATGAGAGTGGTGATCCGTCTTCAAAG